TCGTGCACTCTCCTTGTTGAAGTGATGGTGCTGTCTGGCAAATTGGCAGATACTGCCTCGTCTGTCTCTGACATATTTCTGCAGTAAACTACTAGCAAATGCCAGTAACAGCAGGCTGGGTGTGGTGATTTTGATGTGTGTGTTTATGAATATTTTGCACACTCTGTTCAGCTTGAACAAGATATGAGGATAATTCAGTTAATGAGATCTAAGGGACACTTGCTGACCGATTCCTTTAAGCGAATGTGAAGACCCACAAAGGTGTGAATTCCAACAGTACATACAACATCTGAGTGTCTCATTTCACACTCACAGCTTATCAAAGCTAAAAGTGTATGGGCTGAAACAGCAGAAAGAAGACCAAGTACCTCTGTAACCAAAACCAAGAATATTAGGCTAGATTGGGGATAAATATCACCAGATTTGGATGACTGGAGAGTAAACATGTTTAGATCTAGAAAAGATTATTTGATTAATTGATGGAAAGAAAATCAGTCAGCAATAACTTGATAACTGACTATTAATTTATAATACCAATCCTCAGTTCCGACTTCGTAATTTCAATCAGTTAATCAAACATTTATTTGTCATGTGGAATTATACAAAGTACAACTCTAGGAAAATGTCATCCCATCAATTCTAATAGGTTGCTGCTTTGTGATTGTCCAATCCATGGTTTAATGGTTGTGGAATGATATAAGTGTCCACACTTCCTGACTTCAACGACTGTAGGTCACTCCAACCAAAGAATTAGCAGTGACTCCGCTCTGCAGCTGGCTCTGTACAGTGTATAGCAGTGATCCACAGCAGGAACAGAACAGCACCTGACATTCTCGCCAACACACCAGTCCTATTTCACACACATCTCCTCTCCATCTCCTCCTCATCATCTTTGTCAGATCGGCATATAGAGAAAGAGCCTTCTGACTGAATGCCGCTGTCCAGGATTTCACCAAGTTTCCGTGAATCAAAGGATATTGCAGTTGCTAATATCCCATTTATTTCCAATGTAAAATGGGTAGCAGGATGCTAGTTCAGCTGGTGACCATTCCTCTCCATCTTTCCTTGATGTTTACAGGTGTTTCTATTTGAAAACCTGAACCTGGCTAGCTATCAGCTAGCTAGCTACACGTCAGCAGGAGGAGAGTTTACAGACTGGCGAGCTGATTTCCAAATCTAAATGGGTGACTCGCAGCCAAACACCACCACCTTCCAAAGCCAACCACAAAAGGCACCACCAAGACTTGCAAAGACATTAGAACCTAAACTTAGTACAAATTGAATGTAGCTGACAGAGAGGCAACTGGAGTATGCATGTACATCTACATCAAAAATTTAAAAGATTTGCTGTTCTTCTTTGACTTGTGTGATAGTAAACAACAATTTGGATAAAACAAGTTACTTGGAGACATTGACTTGGGCCTAAGGAACATAAAATGGCTATTTCCTGACATTTTATAGACCAAATAATTAATCAGTTAATCAAGCAAATAACTTAAATTGTGCCATGTAAATAGGTAGCTGATGGTGTAATGGGTGATTTAAAAAAATAAAAAAATTACATGCATGTAAGTGAACATGGCTTGAATGCCAGAGTGAACCTCAGCAATGTTGTTGACCAGGTGCATCCCTTCATGGCTACACTCTACACTTTCAGGGTCATGTGTCATGTCACAAAACACTCAAGATGTTTTCAGGAACTCAAGATGTTTTAAGGAATTCTGTGACCAACTCCAAAGCCTTGAATGTAGCCCCCCCCCCCCCCCCCCCCCCCCCCCAAAAAAAAAAAAAAATTACTATCCTACTATTCAATCTACCACCACCTTGTTTGATCACTGAAGGCACAGTCAAACCAATCCAATCACTTCAGTGCTGTAGAATTCTGAACAGTCATTACTGTTGCAGTGTATATGATGAGTGTGTAACCCCTTTGCGGCGCTGCTCTCGTTCCCTGGGCGGTAAATCTATGCACACTCTTACATAGGACAACAGTGTAATGCAATCCCAACTGTAAGGAAGCCCAGTCAGTGTTTGTGTGTACATGTACTGTATCTGTGTGCATGTTCAGACAGCTCCAGTCCAAAAGTGCTATACTGTAGTTCATGTCAGCAAAGGTGTTTATGGCTGTAATGGAACACAGTGGCTGGTGTCTTCAGAGAGGGGACAGGCCAGAGCGTGCTGCCTCATACAGTATTCCCCAGGCTGCCTACTTTCTACTTTTGTGTCCTCGTGACATTAGGCATTTTTGGACCAGAGTAACTTTTTTCATGGTTCTAAGAACATCCTTTTTATCGTGCTTGCACTCAAGAACTAGGTACGATCATAGTTCTTAGCACACCGACTTCCTAGGCTCCGATTTCAGAGTCGGCCCTCTCTTAGCATATTTGGAATTTTAAGTGACAAAAGTGTACGCTGATTGGTCGAACATATGAGTACTAGCAACCTTCATTTTTAAAAACCTGTTAGCCATGTAAACAACAGCTAACACAAAACACAAACAACAGTTGTAACAAAAGAAATGGAAGAAAACACGGACAAATGGACCAACAATGATGTCCAGGCTTTACTTAGCATTAATGTGACGGAGGAAATACAATACTATTCTGACTCATCACAGCAATGCTTAGACTGCCTTATATTTTCAGCATTTGTGGTGGTGGTATGAATGCATACAGAAAATAAAAAGCCTTTTAACATGCGTAGTTCTCTAGGAGCTCCCCAGTGGGCAGTTCCTTTCAGGGAGTCCCCACAACTGTTTGGTCCAAATACCCCTACTCAGTAAATTAATCATTTGGAGCAATTTTATGGAGTTATATTTGTGCCACAATCCTGAGCGAGCAATTGTAGATTTTGAGCATAGCTTTTGTGTGCATAAAAAAATATTTTGAGCACAGAAAAATGTGTTGTGAGCACAGAAAAATATTTTGTGAGCACAAAAAAATGTGTTGTGAGCACAGAAAAATATTTTGTGCAAGCACACAAATCAACTTTTGAGGACAAATTAAATGTGTGCTCTCCCACAAACTCGTTCATAGTGCGCGAGCAGTCCGCAGCGTACTCGCTCAAGATGTGTCTCTTTCTCCCTCTCGACCTGCCTGAACTTCCCCTGCGCGCTCGCTCGAGTTGTACACGGGTGTTACAAATGTGCCACAATTATCAACCAATCAGAAAACTCGGGGGCGGGTACATTCTGATTGGCTGCTTCGGCTCCAATGAGGTTGCAGCATCCCGGTGGAGTTCCCACCCACCAAAGGTCAAAATGGAGGAAAATTCGATTGGATGAAAACATATTTTCGGTCAGTATTTCACTTTAAATATTAGTATTATTGAATGATATTACATTATAGTGCTGCTGTGCTGCGTTGATTGGATTAACATTAACGTTACACGTCCATGTATCTTGAGACATCAGTCGCAGAGTGACAATTTCACTCGTATCCCTCTTTAGCAATCCTGGCTGCTGCTAACTTCAGAAGATGTCTTCTGAACCTAACGAACCACGGCCACATGTAAGTAGTTTGTGCTTTAGTATTATATCATGTTTTATGAACCTTTATGAAAGTATGTTTGTTTTTGTCTGTACACTTTTAGCCTGTAAACCAAGTTAGCTATTTTGGTAGGTTGCTAAAGTTAGGTCTGTTAGTTAATGTCAGGGAGAAAAGCAGAAGCTTACTAACATTAGCGTTACTTCCATGATAGTTGGCAAAATTGACAGTGTATAAAAAAAGACAAGGCATCAAAAGCCGGCGTTGCGCCACCGAACGCCCACTTCTATTAAAATGTCTATTGGCAATGATTAGGGTGCATCACATGGCCCGTTGTCTCTCTCATGTAGTTTATTCTGAGACATCACATTACAGTACGTGAGTCCCTCTTCTTTGATAATTTGAGCTCTCTTTGTACAACAGGACATGTTTTAAGTACGGTTCATGTTAATGTTAATCCTGAATTTATTTAGAGCCATGGTGCAGTTGAGTCAGCAGCCAGAAACCTGGTGTCTTTGCTGCTTAACACTCTGGCCCCATGCAGTTCAACAAGGCCGATGTATGTGTTGTGGAGAACAAGCACAAGGTAAATTCAAAATCACTTTATTTCCCCCTTTACCAGTGATCTTTTGTTTTGGCTCTCTGTAATGTAAGGAAACTTTGTTTCAAATTTCAGGCAGTTTGTCCAGTTTGCACCAAAGAATTCCCAGACGATGAGATAACAGTCCATGCCAGTCTGTGTGGAGAGAGGTAATCTGCTCTCTTCTGTTTACATTTTTTTTTCCACAATTAATTGCCATTGCAATTAACAATTAACAAATTGCAAATTGTTTGAATTTACAGTGACTTAAGTGACAGCTTTGAATGTACAGTGGCTTCTGCAGAAAATGACAGTAGTCCAAGTATGCCTGCTCAAACAGCAGCATTCAAACCAAAAAGGTACGTTTTATTAGGATGGTCTTTGCATGAGTTTATATCAAATACAGAATAAATGATGTGCACCATCATTTACACCAGTGGTTGTCAACCTGGGGTCTGAAATGGGGAATATTTTAACTTGACTAATATGTCATTGACTAGAAATTATCCCAATGAGAGAATGTGTAAGGATGACTATTCTGTTCATAGTTTTCACTCTTCCCTGTTAATCTACAGTCTATAGTATAGACAGTTATGGAATAATTAAATCTGATCTGATGGCGATATTTTCTCTTTTCCTCAAGTACGGAAGATGTATTGTGCTTCATTGAACAACAAGTTGACACCAGTACAGAGTTTAAATTGTGTGTGGACAGAGAAGACCTTCCAGACAGAGGCATTCTCCAGTGGAAAAGGAAAAAAGCTGCATCTCCTGCCAGTGCTCTTAAGGTGGTCTATATAGGAGAGGCAGGCATTGATACAGGAGCACTTAGGAAAGAGTTTCTGACTGGTAAGTTGGTCATTTAACTGTTTGTTCTGATATGAAACAAACCCAATGGATTATCTAAACCTTGTTATTGCTTTTTTGTCTAAGATATGGTTTCAGGTATTGAAAAGAGATTTTTTGAAGGAGCTGGGAACCAGAGTAAAAATCCCAAGGACTCTTTGACAGATGTTGATAATGAGAACTTTAGGTTGGTAACATACACATTTTTGCACACTAATCATATATGGAAAAGAGTTTTTTTCTTTTACTCAAACTTTTTCTATGTTGCTCACAGAACTGTTGGTGAAATAATGGCAGTCAGCCTCGCACAAGGTGGTCCACCCCCTGCTTTTTTGAGGGAGTGGTGCTACAACTTCCTCTGCACAGGAGAGGTGGACTTAAACTCTCTGTCTCAGGAGGATGTGACCGATCTAGAATCCTGTCTGCTCATCAGCAGGGTCAGCATTCTGTTTAGTATTGTTAGATCTGAATTAGATTTATAATGTTGTACCACATATTGTATTCTCTATTTTATGTTGCACATTTTCAGGTTGAAAATTCTGCAGATGCTGAGTCTCTGATGTTGTTGGCTGATGAAATTGTAAGCTGTGGATACACAAGGCAGATCAAACTGGACAGCAAAGAAAACATAATTCGGTAAGTTTTCAAAGAATAACATTTTAAATATTTTTCATGAAAAAATGTTAACTTTGCAACAGTTTTGATTTTTTTGTGTGCTTTTCTTCAAAGAGCAATTGTCTTACATTCTACAACAAGACTGATTCCAATGCTGCAGCAACTCAGAAAGGACATGGAACTGTATGGCCTGGTGAACCAGATGGCTACAAACCCTGACGCTTGCCACCCCCTGTTTGTTCCGGGGAAGATCATAAAGGTAACAATTTTAACTGCCACTTTCTACACAGAAACTACAGACATTCACTTTGCTCTGTTTTTGTGTGTGTGTGTGTGTGTGTGTGTGTGTGTGTTTCAGTCATAGCCTGAGTTTGAACATACAAGAATATTTAACTGAATCTGCATTCACTCTCTTTATAGCCTGATGCTAACTTCATAATGATGAACTGCCAGTCGCAATTCAGTGAAAAGGGGACATCTAAGGAGAGAACTGAGAGGAAGATAATCAACTTCTTACAAGATTTCTTGCAGGAGATCGAAATGTCAGGTACTATATACTGTACATATACCAAGCACACACATAATGTCATTTCAGTGTTTTACTGATTTTGTTGTACCAAGCATATATAAATGTTTTGAAATACTATAACTATTTTAAAGACAATGACTGTAAATTGCTCTTCTTAATCTGTGTTATTTGAAACATTAATATATCCATCACAGGAGGGGAGACAGACAGTGCAGCTGGTGACACAGGGCCTCTTGGGCAATCCCACATCCCCGTCCTCCCTGATGAAAAGAGATGCTTCAAAATAACATGCAACTTTAACCATGAATGCAGAGAGCAGCAAGGAGATCACTCAGTGTGTTACCCAACTGTGACTGGTACTTGCTAGTGAACGCAACCCAGACGTCCCGCCAAAGTCTCTCAATCCTAGAATGAAATTTTAATTTAAAATAACAAAACTACTATAACTACAAATAATTATGCAGTCAAAAATTTCAAGACTGAAAAACTACGAACCTCTGATTATGAATGCTCTTTCCTGAGATAAAGCTTTGTCTTCCAGTTCCCCGTGTGGCAAACATGAAGTGTGCGATGTCCACGTTCTCAGCACCCTGATCCCCCCTTACCCTAAGATGAAAATAAATTTTAATGACATTTAAAAAGGTTTACTTCAACTTTAGTAGAGGAAATAAAATATTTTGTTGCTAGTATATAATAAATAAATGCCACTTCTCCCAACATGTGTTTTTGTCAGGATAATTACCTAGATGGTAGGCCATGAAGCTGGGTTGATCTCAGGAAGGATGAGAATGCAGGTGAAGCCTTGTTATTTGTTGCTGCATCCAAGTACATTAACTGCAATAAAACATGGAAAATTTTACATATGCTATCAGTTACTGTATTACATTCTTACAGTCAGTCATAGAGGTTTTGGTATTTTATTATATCATAAGAAGACATCGGTAGGTCCTACATCTTTACACATAACATATCATTGCAACAGAACCTTATGTTGTGTTTGATATCACCTCAGTATATGTTACATACTAAAATACTATATATATTGAACTTGTGATGCAACTGACTATTTTGCATGTTTAACACTTAAATTGGTTGAGAGAAGTCAGACACTCAAACACAACGTTGATCTGAAATACACAGCTATACATTCGGTTGCATCTAAATTATTACGCTGTGGGACAGGAAAGGCAAGCAGATATGAATTAGGGACTACTTACAGTTAAAATCTGAAAAACTAGTGCAGCAACATGAAATGCTTTGTATTTTTAAGCAGTTCCTGCAAGAAATATGTAAGGTAAATGTTTAAGAAATGCAACTTGACTGATTGCTGCCTATTTGGACAGGTTATATGAAGTCAAATAATTTCTATTTAAGATTTTTTTGTATATGAAAAGAATAACCAGATGTGATCATAATTTGATATTAGCAGGAATTCCATACTGACATCTACTGGCCAATGCAATTATTCTATTCATAGCTAAGCTGTGGGGTTTGCATAATGATTTCTTGGCACTCAGATTGTTGGCAGTATTTTTTTATGCGAAACAATGATCAAGGTTCACTACCCTGTAATTGAAGAATTCTTCTGCAGCCCTGGAGATAAACTATACACAATTTGTATGAACTCACAATGATAAAAGAACTTTACATCCTAAGCAGCCAATTAGGATTTTATGCCTAGGTCTGCTACATCCCTGTGTGGATGTTGAGATCTTAACAATATGCATATTAAGGTCTAATTTGGAATTCAAAACAATCTACATTAAGCTGATGACATTAACCACACACACACACACACACACGCATACACAAAAATCAATTACCTTCCTTGAGTATCCGTCCACTCCACCAAAGATCACAATATTGTACCTGTTCAAGAGGGGGGAAAAGGTTGAAATATAACTAAGGCTGTTCTTAAATGTATGACATGACTCCACTCCCAATATTCTGTATGTAGATAATTGCATAGACAGGCTATTTTACTCTACCTTATCAGTTTATGATTTGTATCAATGTGGACCAAGGAGAGAGGGCCGCAGACAGAATAACTTCTTCGCACAACACACCCCAGTTCTAGGATCCGTGAGAAGATCCCTGCAGCATCAACTCGGTGCATGGAGGCCATCATTCTCCACCACTGAACGCGAAGGCCCAGTGAAACCAGATGGCCTTGAACCATTCGGTATCCAGCATTTGGCATCTGAATTTTAACACCTGAAATTATGTTGTCAAGTTCTTGGTCAGTCACAGAACTGTATGATCCTCTTACTGACAAGCCAAATTCTTGCATTCTCCTGTAAACAGTTCTTCTTGAAACACCAAGGCATTTTGCAATGCAGAAGACTGGCAGATGTGTGACCAGCAAACTCTTCAGTTTTTCTTTCTCTATTACAATTTTGGGGTGACCAGGACCTGGACCAACTTCTGTTTCCTGTTCCACAATAGGCATAGAACTGGCATTAATTTCCCTCTGGACAACGTGATGGAGGTTTTGGAGTGCCTCTGTAATCTCTGATACACCTCATATCTGCTCAGAGAATGATCCAAACAGTACAAGATCATGGCGAGTTAGGAGCTCCAAATAATCCAGATTTAGTGGTTGCTGGTTTAAGGCAGATTGTAGTCTGGTGAGAAGTCTCTCCATCAACTGCTGTCTCAGTGTATCCTGTTGGACAGAGAGATCAATAAGAAAAAAAAGGGACTCATGGTCAGCCATGTGCTGTATTTGACATCTCAGGTTATGCCTTATGGTAATTTTTCTAAAACAGTCCTACAAATCTACAACAATCTTTCAAAGAAAGGTACAATTACAAATATAACCATAAACAAATTGCAAGTGCTGTAACTTAACACCACAATGTCTTAGGTTCTCTTTAAACATCCATGCTTCAGTGAGCCAGCACACAACGCCAGGAACAGCAGCAGCACCCTGACTCTGTTACACCTAAATGGAATGTTACCCCTAATTAATATATCATCCATTACACCTGTGCTTGCCTTTCTATTAAGACAAAATGATTCCCAATAGTGTTAGAGCTTCAAAATTAGATGTAAAATACTGCCTAAAACATGTGTGATTGTAACAAAATTTCTTACAGATGATTGTGTGCTTCAGCTGTGGATGTGTAACATAAGATTATCAAACTTGATATATAGGTTATAAGTCTATTTCAGTTAATGACGACAGACATATCAATAGTCATATCAGTCATATCAGTCATATCAAAGTGCCTTCTTCAGGTGTTATATGTTGAAATAAGCCGGAGGAAGGTGCCTAAACTATTCTTTAATTAAGACTGTCAATCATGGAAGTAACGTTAATGTTAGTAAGCTTCTGCTTTTCTCCCCGACGTCTCAGAATAAACTACATGAGAGAGACAACGGGCCATGTGATGCACCCTAATCATTGCCAATAGACATTTTAATAGAAGAGGGCGTTCGGTGGCGCAACGCCAGCTTTTGATGCCTTGTCTTTTTTTATACACTGTAAATTTTGCCAACTATCATGGAAGTAACGCTAATGTTAGTAAGCTTCTGCTTTTCTCCCAGACATTAACTAACAGACCTAACTTTAGCAACCTACCAAAATAGCTAACTTGGTTTACAGGCTAAAAGTGTACAGACAAAAACAAACATACTTTCATAAAGGTTCATAAAACATGATATAATACTAAAGCACAAACTACTTACATGTGGCCGTGGTTCGTTAGGTTCAGAAGACATCTTCTGAAGTTAGCAGCAGCCAGGATTGCTAAAGAGGGATACGAGTGAAATTGTCACTCAGCGACTGATGTCTCAAGATACAAGGACGTGTAACGTTAATGTTAATCCAATCAACGCAGCACAGCAGCACTATAATGTAATATCATTCAATAATACTAATATTTAAAGTGAAATACTGACCGAAAATGTGTTTTCATCCAATCAAATTTTCCTCCATTTTGACCTTTGGTGGGTGGGAACTCCACCGGGATGCTGCAACCTCATTGGAGCCGAAGCAGCCAATCAGAATGTACCCGCCCCCGAGTTTTCTGATTGGTTGATAATTGTGGCACATTTGTAACACCCGTGTACAACTCGAGCGAGCGCGCAGGGGAAGTTCAGGCAGGTCGAGAGGGAGAAAGAGACACATCTTGAGCGAGTACGCTGCGGACTGCTCGTGCACTAAGAACGAGTTTGTGAGAGGGCACACATTTAATTTGTCCTCAAAAGTTGATTTGTGTGCTTGCACAAAATATTTTTCTGTGCTCACAACACATTTTTCTGTGCTCAAAATCTACAATTGCTCGCTCAGGATTGTGGCACAAATATAACTCCATACAATTTAGTCAATTAAAATTGTAGGTAAATGGTTTTATATGTTTTTGTAGCAATGCAGCTCAACACTACCGAAACCTGCTTCCAGTCTATTTATCACCCAGCAGACACAGAAATATTTCACGTTCTCAGAGTGCAGTCTAACTCAGACTGACAGATATGCCACCTCTTGCAGACTATGACTTCATTGCTGAATGCATAATAAATAGTTAACCCTATGGGCCCGAACAAGCATAGTGCGTCCAAATTCACACCCGTTCTTCTCTGTGTCATAGCGAGAAGCCATGCATATCACGTGAAACAGCGGAACTGTAGCTTTCCGAGAACACCAAGCACTTGTCGGTAGTCCAGTGTTTTCACAACGAAAAAAAATGATAAAGTTACACTAAAATGATGTATAATAGAGCTTTCATACAGCTTTGCACACACATTACTCTTGGATGGATTATTCGCAAATGCAGGCTCGCACAGAAATGCCACGCATATCACATCAAAGCGCAGGAGCAGAGCTTTCCAGGGATACCACACACATCATTGTGCTGTCATCCCATCACGCTATAAATACAGATTGATTGTCTACAAAATAAAAACCTGACGAATTTCTTTACAATCCATTATACAGATCTTGTTATCAGTCACTTCCCATAGTGAGGAATATCGTATCTTACCACGTCTTAGGCTTGCGTGTGTTTCTCCCTGTCTATCCACATTTGTAGTCCGGCTTTCAAGATGCAAACATCTCCATATTGTCCAGTTGACACTCCATCAAACTTTGTATGACAAGACCAGCCACTTCACCTTTGCGCACCCAGACAACTGCAGCCTAATGCATGCTGACAGGGCCGTAGTCACCATATACATTGAGGGGGACACG